TTAATCCATAGAAATGTTAAGAGTTTATAACTCTACCTGAAAAAAGAATCCTGGGGTTCATTTAGCTTAGCATCATCTTAGATGGTCATATGTACATAGTTTTTGAGCTTTTCTGCTTTTTATATAAAATTATCCTAGATGTATACTAATTATTGCAAATGAGGGAAACCTGAATCTTAAGATATGGACACAGAGAACTTTCTTTGTTGTTTTTAATGTAATGTTTGATTTTTTTGTTTCTTTTGTATGTTCTTCCCCTCTATGGTATATCCCCTGTTTTCACTGTAGTAATTTTGGTACCCTGAAACTTGTATATACATTTGTATAATTTGGGGAAGTGAAAGGGAATAACAAAATGCTGAAACAAGGACACAGGATGACCCTTTGCAACGATGATACCCACAAGACTCTATATTGGAAATGAACTTTACAACTTTGGGTGGGGAGGTGTGAGGGAGGTAGGGAATGGAAGGGATAGTGGGAGAACAACAAAGGAGGGAGTAACAATGCTTGACAAGAAATGTACTCATTACCTTACTCATGTAAATGTAACCATTTGTACAGCATCTTTGCAATAAAGTAAAATTAAAAATTAACTAATAATAATAAAGAAATAGAATCCTGGTTCTAAAGCATGTAATGTTAGAATAATACCACTAGATGGTAGAGAAACCCCACAAAATATATTAAAAGAGCTATCTAGCTTAGTAATCTAGGGAAACCACAGAGTTAGTGTTTTAATCATCAACTTTCTCTAGCCTTGGGTATTTGACTAGGACCAGGGACACTCAGAAGGAGCTGTCAGCAGGCTGAATTGTGGGGGAAAGTCTTCTGTTTTTGGAATTTACAGACTGGAAGCTTGGCTTTGCCTCTATTTCCTGCCTCATTTATCAGCAAAGGCCATCTTTTAAGGATTGATTCATGTCCTCTGAGATATGTGTCCTTGGAGAAGTCTGTAACAGTGAGTGAGGTGATGTGAGGTCCCTGAAACTGTAGCAAGTCCTGTAGTGCTAGTGTCTAGAGGAGATGTGGCACTGGATGGCTTTGTTTCTGTCTCTGTCACAGGCATCAAAGTCCTTGTGAGGACATTACAAGAAAGTGAACAGTCAGGAAGAGAGTTCAAAACAGATGACAGTCTAGACTACCCTTCTTCCAGAATTTTGATTTTAAAACTATTCCGTAAATTTTTCTACCAGCGCAAGATATCTGTGTTCTCCATGGCAGTGCAGGGAAACTAAGTCACCAAACCGCTCTTCCTGAGCAGGATCAGCCTTAGGAATTGACATGTAGTTTGGACATGTAGTTGCAGCCTTGCTTCTCTTCTTCCTGCTGCTGCAACCATGGTGAGGAAGCAGGACTCAGGCTCCATTCTTAGTGAGCTTTAATTAAGGAATGTTTCCTAGCAGTTGAACGTGTAATCCTGCTTAGTTTTTGGGTCAGAATCAGAAAAACATCAACTAAATGGGATGCATTACTGGTATTGTTTGTAGATGTATAGGTATTTTTTGTTCTGTAAGGAACCGAGAAGATCCTTTTTATCCCAACATTCTTTTATCGACATGGCCCTCAGCACAGACTTTATAATGCCTCTCCTGATTTTTAAATGGCATATCTACATACTCTGGGGAGTCAGGGTTGTGTCATTAATTTGGATTCACATAGCATAGAGAAGTCTATGTAGGTAAAATAAAAAAGAAGTATGTTTGTATACATTTGTGCATTTCATTTATTTATTTTTATTATAATAGTTTTCATTGTAGAGATGCTTCATCTCCTTGGTTAAGCTTATATATTTTTACTTTTGAGGAAATAATTTCATAATTTCAGTTTTCCCCATTTAGTATGATGTTGACAATAGTTTTGCTACATATTTTTTGGGGGGGACTGAGGTAATTTTTTTCTATCCCTGGTCAATTGAGACATATTTATCAATCACTCTTCTCCAATCCATGGCAACATTTAAACGTATTATGTGTTTATATTTTCTAGTGCTTCTCTGCAGCCAACTTGCCAAAAACAATAACCACTACTGAGCCTGTACAAGTGCACCACATCTGAGAAGAGCAGACCATCACCTGGTATGCAGTTGAGGGCAAATGTCCAGCAGGACTGATCAGCAACTTCACCATGTTCCAATCCTGAAACCCTTCCATGCCTAGTTGTGTAGCAAGGGACTGTGGTTCCTGAAGCTATACTTTGTCCTGTTTTGAGATGTATAAATTCAAATCCCGGTGTTCTACATGGCTGATGTATCTACAAGAGGCCAGTGCAAGTGCCTCATGCCTGAAAATCTACCTACACAGAAGACTGAGATCTGCTGATCCCAGTTCAAAGCCAACCAAGGAAAGGAGGGTGCAAGAGACTCTCCTCAAGTTAACCAACAATAACAGAAATGGAGATGTGGCTCAGGTGGAAGAGTGTTGACCTTGAGTACAAAAGCTCAGGGCCATGGCCCACACCCTGAGTTCAAGTCCCAAGACATACACACACACACACACACACACACACACACACCCATACAAACACACACATAGTAAAAATAATGCACAAAAATGTCGTCATATATGATTCTTCTTATGATTGGTGATCCTTGGGGCAGGGGAAATCAAAGAGTAATATTTCAGTATTTCTTTTGAGTTATATCATTTATAACCCATACACGATTGAAGTTATAACCTAATGGAAATTTACCTGTGTTAGTCATTTCCCCTTCCATGTGATTGGAATTTAATTTGAGTTTGGAACTTTCTTCCAGTTTTGGTATCTCAAAGAGTATGCTCATTCTCTTTGCATAAGCAAGCAGCAAAGGAATAAATGAAATAATTTACAAATAACATATTTATAAGATAATTTCTTTGTATGTCCCTCCCCTAAGGTGTAACCCATGTTTTCACTGTATTTGGTGTTGGTATAATTTAGGGAGCGGAAGGGAAAAAACAAATCCTTTAAATAGGGATACAGGTGGCTCCACTGCAATAATGAGATGTACAAGATGTTTTGTCAAAAAATGAACTTTACAACTTTGGTGCTGAGGGGGAATAAGGCGGGTGGGTAGGATGGGGGGAAAGTGGAGAAGAAGGGAATAGATGGGAAGAGGAAACAAAGGAGGAGGCAACAATGTTTGATAAGAAATGTACTCATTACCTTGCTCATATAATTGTAACCCCTCTGTATGGTATTTAAAAAACATTTAAAAATAATATATACCACATATATGGTATATATGTGCACATCAGACGGAAACTAGGAGGACAACAGAGAAACAGAGGGAAACAAGGGATAAAATATAATAGTGGGACCTATCAGCTGCGCTGGACATTGATCCTAACGAACTAAGCAACTCAATGGAAGCAATGGGAGGGAGGGAATGAGCAGGAAAGAGGGAAAAGCTGACACTAAGCAAAAGGAAAGAAATGTATATATCATCTCATGTGGAAGAAATAACTGTACTGTCAGAGCTCATAGAATTAACAAACTTTATGAACCATGATAAAGATAATTTACCCCACGAAGGTTAGAATGTGTTTGTGACTATGTTTCACTTACTTTGTGACTATAAGTATCACTTACTTTGTGATTATAAGGATCATAATCCTGTGAAATTTGTGAAATTTATGCAATCAATTAATCACAATAAAAATTGCTATGAAATAAGTTTAATAGAAGAAACTTTTTGTGTAACCATAAGAAAATGTCACAAACAGTGGCCAATAGCAACAGATATGTATGTTCTTCAGGCTCTGGATGGTGTAAGTGGAATATGAATTCCTCTGTACAACTCTGAACTAGCATTCAGTTTCTTAGTAGCTTATGATGAACCTTAAGAGAAGACTTAACCTTGAGTGTTTGTTATATTGAGACATGAATACAGCTCTTGCTGGATCATGCTATGAGGTGTGGAGTCCTGGCTGTGGCTGCCCACATGGAATGCAGGCAGGACAAGGAGGGTCTAATACAGAGTTAATAACTTTTCCAGGAGCAGACTCTGTAGCAAGATTAAAAAATAAATGTTGTAATAGTCTCACTAACTAACTGAAAGTAACTGGCATTCTTGTCCATTCTGTCTTATAGAAGAGAGAGAAATATTAAGAATGCTGTTGTTAGTCTGGTGAAGAGTTATGCTGAAGAAGTGTCATTCCATATTTACTGATTAGAAATGTTATTAGTTCACCCTCTGTAAGGAGGATTTTAAAATCTGGGTTATTTTGGTTTGACACAAGTAATCATAAGAACTTAATTTATTAAGTCCTCTATGAAGAACCTTATTTTTTATCACTTGTAGGGATTGAACTTAGGACCTGGGTGCTGATCCTGAGCTCTTTTGTCCAAAGTTAACACTCTACCACTTCCAGCCATAGCACCACTTCCAATTTGTGAATGATTAATTGGAGATAAGAGTCAAAAGGGGAACTTTCAGTCTGGACTGGCTTTGAACCATGTATTCAGAACTCAGCCTCCACAGACATGAGCTACCAGTGTCTGGCTTATGAAGAACATCTCTAACAGTTGTTGAATACTTGCTAATCATAAGTTAACTTTGTTTCAGTGATGTCAGATCAACTCAAGTATGTATTTGATTTCCTAACCTAGTTGTAACCACAGTGGTATTGGATAGAAGTGTTGAGAAACAATGGCAAATGAAGTCTGTGTACAGTATCTTTCTCTAGAATAACCAGAAGAGGGCCAATCAAATTGACCCTTCACCAACACTCTCCTGGACACACATTTCATTGAATTGGGCCTCTAGTGTTTTAAGTTGACAGGGTCAAGTACACCACATCCTCCCTGCAGATCCAGGCATCAGGGGAGAGGGGTCCTTCTACCCACTGCTGGAGCCAGCCTGGTATTTGAGGGTCTTTTCTCCAAACACAGAAGAAATTTAAGTCACTTTCTTCACCAGAGAGATGCCCTTGCCCTCTGCTTTGTTCTTCTCACATTGCTGCACCCACCTGCTGATTTGCATAGTGCTTCCCAAGGAGGACTTTCCAGCCCTAGTTTGACATAAAGGCTCATCTTGTCCTTGACTTCACTGGTCAAATCTCCTGGATTGCCAGCTAAAATGAGGCTCTGTTCTTGGGTTCTGGGTCTCCTAATGCTCTGGATCACTGGTAAGGGCAAAGGGAGATGAGGATGGAAAAGGGGGTTGAGGGTGAGCCTTCAGGGCCACCGCTTCTTGTTTGTATTCTGTTCATGGGTTAGATGCACAGAACTTGTCCTCTAGAATGGGGCAGGTGAAGTTAATTATATGAGAGTAATGAACATTCTAGATGGAACCAGTTCCTGAGCTTTGTTGACAATTATGAGGATTATGTAGTGGGTAGTATACATAAGATCTAGAAACTCATTTTTGCTTTTTAATATTTATATGTTTTCAAATATTAAATGGTTTTAGGATAGAAGGAAAAACCATGAAAAGGATTGGGAATTAATATATAACCACAGAAAAAATTATATACCACATATAACGTTGTACTTTTCATTTATTTTAATTTCAGGGTCCAGAGGCGATATTTTAATGACTCAGACTCCACTCTCCCTGGCTGTCACCCTGGGAGAGACGGTCTCCCTCTCCTGCAGGTCTAGTGAGAGCCTCACAGATAACAATGGAAATAGTGTTCTATTCTGGTACTTGCAGAAACCTGGCCAGTCTCCAAAACTGCTGATCTATGGGGCTTCCTATCGAGCACCTGGGGTCCCAGACAGATTCAGTGGCAGTGGGTCAGACACAGATTTCACACTGCAAATCAGCAGGGTGGAAGCTGAAGATATTGGGGTTTATTACTGCATGCAAGCTATAGATACTCCTCCCACAGTGATACAGTCCTTAACAAAAACATCTCTGTAGGGCTTGGCCCAGCTGTCCTATTTCAAAGCTTGTCTGGGGAACAGCATAGCACATTCTCTGAACTGAAGCAGTAGTCTGAGTTTGGAGGACTTGACAGAAGATGTCATACCAGAGACTTTGTCCAAGTGGGATCTTGGATTACTTGAAGCTTAGATGGACTTCCAGAACCAGAATTTATAATGTTACTACAGAAGTCAATTTATCACTTATTACCAAATGTGAAAGACAAAGCCAAAAACATCTACCACCAGCATGCCATTTCTGTAGTTTGGAGAGAATTACAGAGTCAAATCCCATGCAACATCACTCAAGAAGCAGTAGTACCTAGGAATTGAAGAATGAGTCACAAGCTAGGCTTAAAATGAGATGGATTTTTAAAAATAGGAATGTTACTGAATATCACCAAATAAATAGAATATGTTTGTTAAATATAAAGCAAATTAATTATATGACTCAGATGTTACAACCTTGCTGTTTAATCAACACATGTTTTTTTTTAGGGTGGGGAGTAGGGTTTGGGGCCTGAACTCTGGGCCTGGGTACTGTCCCTCAGCTCTTCAGCTCAAGGCTAGCGCTCTACCACTTGAGCCACAGCACCACTTCCGGCTTTTTTCTTTTTGCTTATGTGGTGCTCAGGAATCGAACCCAGGGCCTCCGGCATGCAAGGCAAGTGCTCCACCAATGAGCCACCTTCCCACCCTCAACTCATGATTCTGAAAGTTCCATTATTTTTTAAAATTGTGAAAATACTATACATAGGGGTTACAATTACATGAGCAAGATAATGAGAACTTTTCTTATCAAGCATTTTTACCACAACCTTTGCTTCCTCTTACCATCCCTTCCCTCCCATCTTCCCCCCAGACCATAGTTACAAAGCTCATTTTTTGACATAACATCTTCTACATCTCATTGTTGCAATGGGTCCCCCTATATCCCTATTTAAAAAATTTGTTTTTTCCCTTCCACTCTGCAATTTATACCGACATCAAATACAGTGAAAACAGGGGTCTCCTTGCCACAGACCCATTTTTTTTTTAAACAAAGTTACAAATTGAAGTATGACTTTTCATAAAGCTATGTTCCATGTCCGTTTCCTACAATCCTCCTCTAATAGAGGCCATTTGTCACCTGCCTCTTAGAGGTAAGAACAATATGTCCTTCCCTTCCAAAAACCTACCATTAGATGGCAAACAAGCCTCACAATGAGCAAAGGCTTCCTCTGAGACTTGAGTGTGTATTGGATTTTCTCTCAGAAAGTGCACAGACCACTCAGACATCCAAAGTAGACCCCTGATATTTCCCTCAGCACAAGCATCATCTTAGGAAAGGACCATCCTTACCAGTTTCTCTATTACATTTAAGTTCTCCTAATCCCTCTGTCACTGATAGATCTAAAATATCTCAACTTCCCCTGGTGGTAAAACATGAAATAGCCTCATAGCCACAGCTATGCTGGGAGAAGTTCTATACTTACTGAGTCCCAAACAGACAGAAAACATTTATAAAATTATCCACTGACTATATCATGAGCTTTACTAGGGAAGCATTTGAATATTTCAAAGAACCACAAACCACACTGAGAGTTGGTTTTAGTGCCAGGGGAAGACAATACTATTGAACAAATGCTATTTCTGGCAATGTGCCCTCTCTGCTCCTGCCAACACCACTCCATGAAGCAAGGCTATGTCAGGTGAGACAGGGCTTATCCATGTGTGTCCTGATTGACCTGAAACTCTCCATATTCCTTCCTGTGTCTCCCTGAGTGATTAGGATTACACATAGGCAGTGTCTGTGGTAGAAGCAGTCCTTTCATCTCAAATAGCTTATTTGTGTATTTCACAGGATGTCACTATCTATCAATCTTACACCTTACATCTTAAATAAGAATCCTACTTTTAAACAGAACTTTGAAAGCATTTTAGGAAAATGAATAAACAGAAAACACTCTGCCCTTGTTTACATGGCAGCTAGCCTGTGAGACATCAGTGACACAGTGACCTGAGATCCCTGTGTGCAGATCAGCTTCTTACTCTATGCTCACAACAGATCTTTTTTTTAAATAAGTTTTTTTATTGTGAAAATACTGTACAGAGGGTTTACAATCACATGAGCAATGTAATGAGTACATTTCTTATCAAGCATTGTTGCCTCCTCCTACCATCTCTGCCCTCCCATCTTGACAACTACATTTCCCTCTCCCCTCCCCCATTCCACACCTAAATTGGGGCAATGTCATTCTTTCTGGTGGAGGCATAGAATTCTATTATGTATATATACCACATTTTCTTGATCCATTCATCTACTGAGGGGCATCTGGGTTAGTTCAATATTTTGGCTATGGTAAATAATGATGCAATAATCATAGTTGTGCTGGTAGCTTTAGTATGGTCTACACGAGAGATCTTTATGCTTATGATTCCTATCTGAGGCTCAGGACCAAACAGACTTTTTACACAAATTTTGAAGTGGTTGATCTCTATCCCCTTATCCACTCTTCCTTTCTCCTGAAACATAGCCATTCCTAAAATGTCTTAGTCTCAAACAAGGTGTGAGGGGCTATGTGTGCTCCAGGAGTGGATGTTTATCAAAGGACAGGTCCACCTTCAAAGTTCTTCTCATTAAACGCAGGTAAATAGAAAAGCATGAGTTTTACAATTCCATCATAGCAGGTTTGGCTTCAGAAGTAAGAGATTTCAGGCCACAGAAACATCATCACCAGGGTAGAATGGTGAATCTCTCAAATCCAGATCCACATGAAGTGCATTTAGTGAAGGTGCTGAAGAGAACTCTGACTTTGGCAGTGACATTCCCTGTGTGTGAGCTTCTGACTTTGAGGAGCAGTGTTATTTTGTGTGCCTGCAGCAGCTGCTTGGACTCACAATGATGGGAGGTTGATTCACTGTCATGTAAATGTCCTGCTAGTGGCTCCCCAGATGTGACCGCCTGCACTAGGGTGGACAGTGTCCCCACATGCTGGTCCTGATGTGGGAGCCTTCCTCACTGTGCTCTGCCTTCACTGTCTGTGGCAGTTTTTCCTTGCTTCCCATGCTAAGGATGTCTTCTCCATTCCCTGTGGCTTCATTGCCTTGCTCACCCTTTACTGTGTTTCCTTTCCTCAAATCTGACCCTGCTGGGACCACAAGTTCTAGCCTAGTTACTAAAAAATTCTGTTTAGAAACTGGAAGAGATGATAGTGTAAGAACATGAAGGTTTATGAAACAGAAGAGACTGAAGTAGATGTGAGTTCTTGGTTTAGGGGACAACTTATTTTTGAGGGGGTCTTTTGGGGCTATTGATAGGAGACAGGAATGTTACCTGAGAGATTTGGAGACTGCTAGCTCACAAATTCAGGAAGATCACAGAGCTACATATGTAGCCATGTCTTTTAAATCTTTCCAACCCTGCTGGTTTTCATGTGCCCTGAGCACAGCCCACTGCCCTAAGAACTCCTTGATAAGCTGTTCATACCCGATGCAGGAGAAGGTTCCACTCAGCAAACAGCTTGGACATGAAGGCCTCTGTTCAGCTCCTGGGGCTCCTGCTGCTCTGGCTCCCAGGTAAGGAAGGACAATGCTGGCATTTCTCATATGGTGTTAACAGAGCAGCTTGAGGCTTCATGGAAGTACTTAGATAATATAGTTTATTTGTCAAGTGCCCTTTATGATGTCCAGTTGACCCAGTTGCCATCCCTGCCTGCTTCTCTAGGAGAGAGAGTGGCCATCACTTGCAAAGCCAGATAGGTCATTGTAAATGTAAATAATTTTTTGCATTTTTACCAGCAGAGAGCATAGAAAGCTCCAAATCTCCTGATCTATTTTGCACCTACTTGGCAATCTGGGGTCCCAGGGGAAATGGAAGTGGATCTGGCACAGAGTTCACTCTCAGCATCAGCAGCCTGCAGCCTGAAGATTTTGCCACTTACTACTGTCAGCAGGGTAATTATTTACCTACCCCTATGACACCAGTCATAACAAAAACCTCTCAGGGAAGCTGAAGTGAGAGGCTAGGCTGCCTTTCAGCAAGTTAAAAAGTAATCTTTGTAAGGTTTAGGAAGTTATATTTAGAAGAAGAAGAATATCACAGGTAAAGAGATTATTTTTACTCCTCAATTAGCCTATTAACAGCACTTCTATTTAAAACATATTTCTCTCTCTCACACACACCAACACCCACACATGTGTGCACACACACACAAACGGGACACACGGTGTCAGTCCTTTTCTATAACAAAGTAGCTGACCTAAATTCTGAATAAGAAGAGTTTGATTAACTCACAGTTTTCGACGGAGAAAGTCCCTTATGTTGAATCTTCATTTGTCTGTACTCTGGTGAGGCTTGTCTTGCATGTGGTTCAATATGTTGTGTTAATAAAGAGAGAACCAGTTGTAATTTGAGCTGGCCAAGAATAAGCCTGTCTTCATTTGATAACAGGTGACTATCATGAGAACTGCCTCACTGCATGAGCGTATCTTTAACTCTCTGGTGAGCAGTGGTATATCCTCCAATCCCATAATATAATCACTTCCCACAAGTCACCCCTTCTACTGGCCAGGTTCATCCACTGGGGCATCAGTACAAACATCCTGCATGTGCTCTTCCTTCCTTCAGGTGAAGTAGAGACTGAAATCTCTGAGACAAATAAATTGAGACTAGTTAAAAAACTATAGACATTTGGAGATTTTATGTCAATTTAAGATAATCAAATTTATGTGTGTAGATATATATATACACACACATATATCATTACAAGTAGTTACATAAATTGGTCTCACCTCAGTATGTCAATTTATAAATACACATTATTTTAATCCTTTCACCATTCTATTACTCTCCAGAAGAAACTTTAAGAAATCCTTTGATTAATTTGCTATACAAATATATTGTGGAAGAATGACAAGATATTTAGTGAATTTAAAAAACTGTTACATTGAATTCATACTTTCAAGTGCAATCATTTCTCCCATTAGATTAAAAGATCATTAGGGTACTTACAACCTGCAAGAGAAAATTTTGTTATCCTTGTCAATTCTATATCCTCTATCTTAATATGAAAATCCTGGCAAATAGAGATGCAAGCATCCCTAAGAGATAACCTGGTAACTATGGTATGCCTCTTCATCTAGCTCAACTCTGTGCTTTTATTGGTCAACTGTTTTGAGAATCAGTGCTGCTGATGCTTGACACTGTGTCTTTCTCTAGACTAGATGAGGGAGGAATGGAGGACCCAGGCACAATGTCTACTCCTTTCCTAGAGTCTCTCCTGGACATAAAGCTGCATATCATTG